TACAAGTGGGTTTTTGATGATGCTCTTCAGAACCCCCGCGCAAAGGAGAGGGAAATAGCCTGACCTTTTGTAGTAATTAACAGATCTGTGTGTAAATACAAAAAAATACTCATCATGACGCCCCAACATCTAGGAACAAGGTGCATATTATTTCAGATTTTTAGCTCTCTTCCTGTTGCCTCATCATTTTTCTATGTCAGTAGTTTTCTTTACCGCCCGGTAAAGATTACATTTTGTGTAGTAATTAATATCACAGCCTCCAGCGCATAGGGAGAAGCTTTTTTGGGTAATTATTAATCAATATGTGACTATTTCACATTGCAGTAATGCATAAAGGTGGCAAGAGTGATAAGGGAGAATGAGAATGAGAATCAACTCTTAGAATAATTCCAACCACAATTGTTGGCTGGATCTTGACATACCGATGATTTACCAAATTGGGTTTTGACACAATGGACCTTTATAGGGGTCATCAGGGGTCCTCGTATCCACATATGTACGTAATCACTTCAGTCTTCGACTCTTCAGCCAAGACTATGGGAAAAGTCTAAGCTTAACTGGAAAAGTTACACCTTTTCAAGATACACCTCTGGTTGCATCTAAGCTAGCCGTCCACACCCTCGAATATTCCTGCACTTGCACACGCCTTCCCATGCTTAAGTGCCACCAATGCTCAATAACTGCAACAGCTCAGAATCCAGAAGCTACCCTGATCCTGTGGCTTTTACATCCAATTAAGAGCCCCCTCACCTCTGGGTAAAAAAAAGAGTTTCTATAAGAACTGGGCTTCTCTGAGCCTGCCCTCCGTTTCAACTCTCTCGTGCAAACCTGAATCATTTTGATTTTTTCCAAGTTGAAAGACCTCATTCTTCTTCCTCTCTTATTATATGACCAAAATGCTCCATGTCTTTCTTAAGCTCTCCATTCTCCTTGTCTTGTTGATTCATGATGTGTTAGGTGCTACTAGGTCATTAGAAATCATCATTCCTTTAGCCCTTCAGCATCATCCGCGCTCAAGGCTAATGCAGACCATTTTACAATTGCACACGTTAAAAGAATAGGGGTTCTCAAAGTTGACCCGGTTTCAAGAAAACCCAGTTGACCCGGTTGCTTTTTGGCAGTAACCTTGTCTATTGAGTTGACATTTTTTGATAGATCACAGCCAAAAAGTTAACTGGGTCAACCAGGTTTTTACAAACCGGGTCTACTTTGAGAACCCCTAATGTACGATAGGCAATGTTGTGCGTAACTGCACATATAAATCTTGCTGGCGTGCTAGTAAGTAGTCGAGAAACTAATCTTGATGACCTCAAATCTTTCAAATCTTGTAGTAAAGCTCATCACAAGCTGGATTTTTTATCTTTACACACATTCATCTCAGGTCATCAATACATTCCATTGATTGATTGCCAGCTTGAAAAGTCAACCAACAAAAGATTAAGTCATCAACAATGTGCTCAATATGAATTCATAAACAGTGACCTGAGAAATCTTCATTATAGTTAGTATCTTCAATTTCTCAACTGATCTATGGCTCAAAGGAAAAAGTGTCTTATTCAAGATTGTTCTGTTTCAAAACTATGAATCAAGAAAATCATCAGAGTGTAGGAATTCTGGTAATATAGATTATATATGTGCTGGTAATTCCAATAATGTTGATAAAATGTTGGGTCAGTTTGATTTTTGTTGATCCAATTTCAAAACAAGAAATTAACACAAACCACTTAATTTTCTTTCAGGATGTTCCGATTGCTATATGTGATGAATGACTGCACAAAAACTCAAGTCCTTGCTCATCTCGTATCATTCCATAAAGAATATAAACAAAAATTGCGCGGTCGGGACCGCGAAATTTACGATAAAACCCTTCCACCATAGTTAATCTTTTAAGATCAGTGGAGCTTGCAAATAAAGGCAGCTTGAGATTTCTCCCAAGTCTCAATTGAGAGGACCTTTCCAATCATAAAACTAGAAAAATCATTTGCTTCAGATTTGATCTTGAAACTTTTTTGAAAGATTATCAACAGTTTTCAAAGAATAATACTGATGTTAGTCAAGGTGATGTATGACACCACGGGAATTAATTAGTTTCAACCCCGATTGAACCAAATTTCAGTGTCCGGGTTTGAAATTTCCTTGAATTGTGACTTTCGTTCACAATTCATTTGCAATAGGTTTGCCAATTGCCCTCGAGCGGTACTCTGTTGGCCCCGTGTATGTATGTACAGCTACAACATGTAACAACCACCCCATTTCCAACCATTGAGCCATCTTTCCTTTGTCATGCATCCTAAGTCTTGATGCTCTGCACATTGGTGAATCTGTGATGACTTTTGTTGAAAGGCGTTGTTGTTGTATGATGTAGCTGTGCATACACGGGGCAAGCAGAGTACCGCTTGAGGGAAATCGGCAAACTTATTGCAAACAAGTTGTGAACAATTGAGGAAATTTCAAACCCGGACACCGAAATTTGGTTCAATCAGGGTTCAAACTAATTAATTCCCGCGGTGTGACATCCTGATCATTGATGTATCCTACTCAGAGTTTCTTCGTACATCTTTATAGAAATTTGATAGAATTCGATCTGTTCATTCATCATTTTTCTTGCAGCCATTCTTGTAAGGCTTGTCTCCCCTAACAACTATAAATTAAAGAATTGAGTAGTCAAAACCTGATAAAAATATCCAATGGCATATAGACTTTAAGATCACCAACACATCTCAATATTCTATGCAACTTGTAGAATGATTCCATCCACGAGTGTTGGCTGGATCTTGACATACTGATGATTTACCTCAGGGACTCTTTCACTGGCTTCGGTCCCTCCCAGACACTGAAAATTTTGGAAGGCCTTTTACCAAATTAATACTTTGGTACTCTCCCTTATCTTCTTACATCCAAATACAGTAAATAGCATGATACAATATCTCAGTCTAGTGACATCAAACTACTTGATCAGCACCCATAAAATCACATGAGTCAAGTGGAAACGCGGGTATTGAAGGGGTATGAATCATCACCCTCAAGTTGAGTTCAATGTCTGGGCCACTAATGGATGACCCAAATATTCCGAGAAGTTCGCATCCTACGCAAGTTCAAGATACCTGCCAGGAATATCGAGTTAAATGCCACATTATCCATATCGACATGATGAAGAGGGTTGGAAGAATGATCAAATTTGCACGCACCTTTCTAACTCCCAATTCGTCACAGTTTGCGTGTATAACTTCCATTCGTGTTCCTTGATTTTCAAAATGAGAAAAGTTCAATCATCAGCAGCACTGTGATGTGACAAATTTGTGGAAAGGCGTCAAAAGAACTCAACTCTGGTCTTTCCAAAATGGTCCACAAAACCATTTCCTAGAATTATTCGAGCCTTGCTCTCTGGTCTCATGAATTGTATCGTAGCTTGCTCCAAGGTCTTAGGTAGTGATACCGGGCGATTGGTCGAAGCATCTTGTGAATCGATTGGTGGGTATTCTTTCAACTCTAGTTTTTGCTCAATCCCGTAAAGTCCTGCACCAATGATGGCAGCGAGTGCATACTTTATGTCATACCATTTCCCAGATCAAGTTATTTAGATACACCATCAGCTCTGAGCCATCCGATAAGGTAACTTATCACGATACATCAAGACTGACTTACATGAGGATTCATGTCGGCTCCCGGAACTCTGACCTCAAGCCTGGTGGCTTCCACTGAGCACATAGGGGGTGCAATGACTCGGACTGATGCGAGTCGGCTATCTAGTCCCCATGTTACCTGTGTTGCAGCCCAAAAACCTTCAACCAGACGTTTGTAACCATTCACAGTAGGAATAAGGCAAGGAATAAGATCGGGTAAGCATGCAATCAATCCAGCAATGAACTGCTCAGCAATCACTGAGAGATTCGAAGTGTGATCCGGCCAAGCTGACGAAGAGGCTTCAGAATTAACGAAAGCATTCTTGGAGGTTGAAAGAGAGCGTAGTGAGATGTGAACATGTCCTGAACATCCTGGGAGGTTGGCATGCGGCTTGGCCATGAAGGATGGTATGATTCCATACTTCATTCCGATACTTTTGGCAGTCAACTTGAAGCTGTTGGGGCATTGAAGAACGTCCAAAGGATGAATGTAAAGTTACGACAATTGATCCTATTCAGTGATCACTTACAGAGATGCATTATCTGCCATCTGCAATGCATCGGTGTATGCTAAAGCAGTTTCATATACCCCAGGACCTATTCAGAACCCGGGATCAACGAGAGGAAGATCTATGATAAGCTAAGGTCCAGTATGGCCACCAAAAGATTCATCAAAATCGACCTGTTTCAGTGTGATGACCTTCGATTGGGATCCCAAATGCTGATGCAGAGTCGAAGAGGTCGTGAAAGTATTCCTGATTGAGATTCGGTCGTAAAAGCGAGTATCCGTGCATACCAGGTGTTAAAGTCTTTAGATTGACAAAAGCCTTCTCCTTGATAGATTCAGGAGTTTCTATGAGGGTGAAAAGAGATGCGGCTGATTTAGAAGTGATAGGTATGTTGGAGAGAGACATTCAATTCGTACCCTTGAATTGAAAGTATTCATACTGCGTCCATCAAAGAGGGGTGCAATGATCAGAATCTAAGGCCAGCTGTGGTTGAGAAGATCAAAGACGCTCACCTCGATTCCAGCAAATGCATGCAAGTCGATCAGTTTCAATCTGTCTAAGACGCTTTTCAATAATCCTCTAGGACAAGCACAGAGGGCTTTGGTCGAATCTTCAGGATCGATGAAGTCAACAAGGAAGAAGGGAATTTGAGATTCCCATGGGATTCGACGAAAAGAATTTAAATCGATCCGAGCGGTAAGGTCACGGTAGCCGTTTTGAGTATTTGAGATCGATAGCTCGGGCTGATAAGTCTGGTCTTGTATATCCTATCATGAGAATGAGATGTGAGAATGAGGTCAGTAAAGGTCAAGTGGCTTAGGATGATGACGGTGATCTCACCCAACCGAAGACTACGCTACACCAACCTAGGCCATTAGACTTGATGCAAGAGATGAATTTATCCTTCGAGACTAACTTCCCTCGCAATACTCCATCAGCGTCAATGGCTGCTAATTTGACTTTCGTATCTTGAGGAATCTGGTCAAGGATGGTTTGAAAATTCGACATCGTTCAATTGTGACTATTGTATGTAAGGGATTCATACAGTCCCCTATGCAAGGGAGAATTTAACGATATGTATAGGGCAGGTCAGGGCAGGTCGGCATGCAGACATGTACTCAGCACAGGGTCTCAAAACAATCGACCAAATTCAAAATCAAAGCATGAAGTTGCAGACATCACCTACCGCAGATATACCTTGTAGATTCCCTTGGAAAACCACCGCAATCCCAGACTTTCTCAATAATCCACTCACACAGCCACTTGAAATGATGATGACGTGGTATTCTTGCAGGAGACACACTGACACTACGAATAGCCATGTGAACTTGTAAGATATCCTACATATTACTTCTTTATGAATGTAGACCTACGGGGTCAATTCTAGTACCTGAGATCAAGTAATGATACTCAAGGATAATTTGCATGAGAGGTACATAGTTTGAGCGTTGAGGCTGAGCTCTCAAGAAATATACTCATGGGATCTTGAGCTGGAAACTAGGGAACACCAGCACTTTTCTAGTCTCTTTCTAGGTCTTTTTATGTGGCTCAACATCTTGACCCTGACTGCAACAAATACCCAATTCATACGGCGCTTGAGGAATGTCTAAATATGACGAGCTATATACCCCAAGCCCACAGAAACTACGATAATAAAACCGTGCCAGAAGCAGCCAACCATTCAGTAGGTAATAGTGTCAAATCATTTGACTTCATTATTTGAGGTGCGCAAATGTCATATTGTCTGTAGAAGCAGTTTTTTAATTGGATCGCGCTATTTGGCGCCCGCTTTCAAATTACCCGAAGCCCGGTTTTTTCGGTACATCAACCGTGCCTCCAGGCCAAATTTGGCCGCAGCCGCAGCTGTATCACAAAGCGGGCTGTCATATCAAGAAAGCGGGCTCTAATACCCTTTTACCGGGCTGTCACTCATGAAACCGGGCTGTACCTTATCAAACCGGGCAGTATAGGTAGTGTTCTCTCTACCTATATTTGTTCGACACATTCTCTCTCAGCTGCCTCGACACTTCCTTCCTAAGTACAACTTCCAATTCCCAATTGGACTCACCCAAAGAAGCAACGCCTCCCAACCCAATCCGTCCGAATCCAAAGATGGTAAGTCGTTCACCTTCACCTATCTTATCTTGTCTTAGTAGTTTCTACCCTCGGTGTTTGGAAACCGCAACCCAGATATGTTGGAATCAACTAATATACCCCTCTGGATCGAGGAGTATAAAGATCAGTTGGCTCGTTGGAGGGATCAAAGATCAGGGTCAAAGGAGGTTATTCACGTAGAATGATTATCTTGTGTCTTTAGTAGTTTGTCTTTAGTACTTTTTTTTCTGTTGTTTGTGAGACACGTTTTAGTTTAGTTTTGTTTTGTATCTCTTTCTACCACGCTCATTACTCATGTCACGCTCGTTAAGTTATATTTGGAATGGTCACACTCGTTTACTTCCATTTCAAAAGTAACATTTGATGAGAAACAAGCCAAAAGATGAGAAGTCGAAAAAAGAAGTAAGTCGAAAGGGTGGAAATTAGAATGGGAAATAAGGGAGAAACACTGGCAAGTGGAAGTGAAATCAAATCTGAAAACCGGGCGTCTCTGATTCGAATTCACAAACCGGGCTGCGTAGATGTCACCGCCCGGTTATACAGTTCAAAACCGGGCGGTGAGTGTTTGAAAGCGGGCGCCAAATAGCGCGATCCTTTTTAATTAAGTAGAAATGAAATTATCAGAGAACATTTACTGAGTAGGGAAATATAAGTGGGTGTATTTTTGGGAGCTCATGACTCTATCTGCACCAGGTGATATAATGAAAGACCAGGTGCATGTTACTGGTTATCTTATCAGCAATGAGAAAAGTTGCACATAGAAAGAGCTAGAGAATCTTTTACTCCAGTACCTTTTCTCCTTGAAGTATCCTTCAAGGGAAGAGGAAGAAAGATAGACAAAGAAGAATACCGGAAATATGCAAAATGCAGCTTGGGCAGGTGAAAAACTGAAGCTGAAGTTTCATATCAAATCAAAGTTATGTTGGGGATCAAGCAGCTGATGGCGAGCTTGAATCCCGGTATAACTTAAATGTCTACCAGAGGTAAATGAGATTGATGAAATTGTGCGGAAATAACCAGATTTTTACTTTCTTTGGTGGGAACACAAGCTCCGTAAGACAGAGCCCAGGCCATTAACATAGAACACCCCAAAACTTCATGAAGAAAAACAATGTAAACAGGGTAAGCAAAGAAACAGACATTTGAATTCCAAAAGGGTCAAAGTAATGTCCTTTACATAATTTGGAGAGATAATAGGCACCTACGGAATCAGCACTTGTGAGATGCTTCACGAAAGGAAATTGATCATATCATTCCTGGCTTTCAGCTAATGAGCAAGAAAAGAAGACATAACATCCATACACACGGAAGCTGAATGATTTCAGAGGGAACCTCATGGTAAGCTGGCAATCAGAATAAACCAAGTCCTCCAAAAATGTGATAATCGTATTTGTAGAAGCTATGTTACATATATCTTATCACCAGTTTTGATTATAATATCACCATCACAACTGATATAGAATCATCTCATCAATATTTGTTGTATGTCACTCAAGCGTATCAATTTGGGCCAAAATTGTTCATGTTGAGGAGTAAGGGCCGGTATGCAGCAGGAAAGGACTTCTTCTCATGATTGTCTATTACTATCAAAGTCCCTCACACTAAGTACAATCCTTGCATGATTTGCAAGATTGTAGGTCTGGGTTAAGATATGCTTAATTATGGAGCGAAAATATTTATTGAACAATTTGATATCAACCTACCATACAAGCAATTCTTTTGTTCTATTGGTCCAGGATCATGATGTAGGCGCTTAGATATCTTTGAATTGATCATCATGGGTTGACACAACACAGGATATAGAAAATGACAAGCACTAAGGTTTCAGGATGTCTGAGCGTATATTACAAGCTGTTGCTGCTATATATTTTGCCATTGTTTCAAAAGAAAACCAACCAGTCAATGGCATTTGAAGTGAGTGAAGCCAAGGGTGAACAGACAAACCAATTCTAAATCCATTGGTTTCCTGTTAAGGACAGGGATGGGGTTCTCGACGAGGATTGGTTCCCTGATAGGTGGGGTTCTGTCTATATAGTAGATTGTCAGATGAAGAGAGGGCTACAAGTGACGTAAGGTACAAGATGAAGTACTCCTCAAGTACGTGACATGTGATGATGTAATATGTCACACCTGTTACATTGGGATCGTAACATTTCCACCGCATGAAGCCAATCTCTTTGGAGCCCTGGACCTACTTGAAGGACAATATCACTGTGTTTGAACAAAAGTGTCATGGCCGTCTTTGCTGATGTTGGTTTTGTGTCTGGTGTTTCACCGCCATGAGGCTGCTCAGAGGATGTCTGATCTGACAATTTCTCTGTTTTGACTTTGATTGACTTTGGTTTGAATGACATGATTGCTGCGGATCCAAGACCCAAGCTTGCGACTAGAGGCCCAAAACCTTTCTTTATGAATTGTGAAATATCAGAAACATCATCATAACAGAGGGTGAAATGAAATAATGGCCTTTGCTAGCCTAATTACCTCATCATTGGTGTGAAACTGGAATATAATGCCACCATATCAGACTCAGTATAAGTTTTGGCCTCTTCAAGAGCATATGGGTGTATCATCTCACTCATGTTCATCCCTGTACCAGGCAAGTAGCAACATGAAAGAATCTTGTTAAACGTGTTTGACAAGGCGTACCCAAAAAGACGTGGAGCTCTTTTATTGAACTCCTCCATGAAGCTATGCAATTTTCCTATGGCACTGACTACAGGAAGGGGTGAATGACTCTGGGGAATAGTGTCCACCTTTGTAAATTTGCAGAAAGGTCAGTAATCTGAAGACTGTAAAAGAAAAGCTAGAAGACATATCAGATTTGGAGAGTTAGAACTAACCTGCACAAAATGTATAAGTCATCCCAGAGTTCAACCTATTTGATCCCAATGATTGTGAGTAGGCTTCACTTGATAGGCTTGAGCAATTTGCTGGATGTAACATGTGGTTAAAACTCACGTAAACTGCTGTGCCAACCTTGTGTGAGCTATATAATCCAAGAGCCATACATTCAAAGCAGTCAGCCAGGTATATCTTTTGTGTCTAATGTATCTAGGCGTACATGAGTAAGCGTGTTGGAAGGTATTCCTCTTGAATTTGTGGGGTTTGATATATTTTTGATAGCTATGGAATATTTTGTCCACATTGGAGGTAGCTTGACTTCCTCTATCTTTGGGATCATACACAGCATGAACAATGTACCCCAACCCATCAAAAAACTTATATACATGTGCTGTGAAAGTGGACATTGGAAAGATTGCAAGGACTTTACAATGGGGCTCAGAAACATAGCTTTGGAAATTTTTTGACATGTTTGCGGTAGGTCAAAGCCCCTGTACATGCAGTTTACTTGAAGATTGACCTTGAACTGGAAAAATTCACCAGCAGTACATGATCATCTTAGTAGTTGTCTCCATTCCTTGCTGATTTCAGAGAACACAACACAGACTTATATGGCAAGCTGCGTAATTACAAAGCAATCAAACCAAGTATATATGTCAGGAAATTCTTCCGCAATCTGAACAGTAAATCCCACAACGCATACCTTCATTGAGGGCTCTAGAGGTCTCTTTCTCATCCAATGACTGAATACTAGGTAGTTGAAGTTGCTGGGGTACCCTTTCTCCCTTTTTGAGACCAGGCTGGAACTTGAGTACCCAAGGAATGCAAGTCAAGTTTTCATTGTTGCATAAGGTGTTTGTGTTTTGTCTTTCAAAAAACTCTTGACAAATTTCATTCAAGCAGAGCCAGCTTTGAAGGTAGAGATGTGGGCTTTTAATTCCACATGCTTTACATATCTGGTGGATTGGCTCTATCTGCAGAGTCACGGTCAATTTCTCTTTGCTATTGACTCCTGCAAATAAATTCTCAGGTGCAATAGAGCTAGGCAGAACTAGAGTTTGAAATATATACTACAAGGGTTTTTTGAAGAGCAGAACCAATTATGAAGCAGAGTATTGGGTGGCAAATCTTGCGCTATGACCACTTTGTGGGTGGCAACAAGTACAAACCATGACTGTAATAAATTTGTCAAGCTTTGAGATTGAGGATTGGAGAAGCTTGTGGAATTGGGCAAGATGTGATGATTTTGATTCAATTTTGGATTGATGTGAGAGCTTAGTACAAAGTAAATATCATGAATTCAAAACTTGAGCAGGGATCCAATGACATGATAGACCCACTTGGAGGCGCCGCGGTGTTGCTTCTGAGCTCAGATCACAATTGTCTCAAAGGTCTGATGATGTGCCTGAAACTGGGTTATCTAAGCAAACTTTTGAAAACACAAGTCATTTAAACATTTTTTGGATACCCCAACATGGTCACTCAAAGGAGAATCTAGCCTGATCATGCGCAGCTCACTGTCATGGATAGGATTCTCTACTGTGGACATGTGATTACTTCTACTGGTCTGGCACATCAGTGGTTGAAGTATTTCACAGCCCGTGTCAGAAGGCCAGATGAGTGGCAGCTCTGGCCCAAGAACAGATGGGTGCTGGGGAGAGTTTCCATTGCATGTGTACCAAGTCATATTTCTTTTTATTCATAGAGTCCAGTTCCAATTGAACAGGCATCCACATGCAACAATCCCACTGGGAGTATTTTACTGGCAGCCCTTGCCCCTATAGAGTTGCTCGGAGGACTTGTTAAGTGCAGTTGCAAGTAAAGCCAACCAAGTCAAAGGCAATGAGTGATATTCAGAATATCTTTGTTCAAAGTTTTGTTTGCTCACTGTGTGTCTGCTGTTGATGAGCTCCTCCCGGAGAATTGTACCAATGATCAAGGCACCTGGATCAAGGACAATCGTATGATCTTGCATTGTGGCCCAAGATGGTGTTTGATGCATTTTCTTGCGTGGAGTTCAGGTCTGGATGTGCCCTCAAGCACTGAATATAAGGAGGGAAATAGGTGAAGGAATGGATTTGACCTCAATCATCAATTTTTCAAATATGGGGGAATATCAACTCCACTTTTCAACTGAACATTTTTCTTGCTTTGTCATGTCTCCAACAAGTGGATCTGGAGAACAAAAAAATGCTACAAACGAACCTTTGGTCCTCACAAATCGAGCAGTAAATCATGTCGCTAACTTGCTAATCAATCTCCAGATGTCGTTTCCCGCATATGGCATAGTATGCACTAGATTCAGCTCCCATGTTCTCGACAATACTACCGCCAAAAGCACAAGGAACAGGGTGCGAAATTTCTTCAAGAATAGGCTTGATTAGCGCTCATTTCACCCACAACACAGATTTAGTTAGTCGAGGCTCTTGCTGAGCATCTGGGATCAATTGGTAGTTTTGCGGTGAGTTTTGTAGATGTGCCCATAATGCAAATTGAACTGTAAACATCCTTGACCGAATCACTCGTGTCAAGGGTAAACCGTAAGACTGGGTTTATCGCCAAGCAAGAAAGATCAAAGGCATGTCACCCAAAGGTATCAAATAAAGGAAGACTCTTCAGGCCAGCAAAATATAGAGTATCGATAAAGGGATCAACAGACTGCACAAAAAAAGATTGGCGCAACGAGAGGAAATCAAGTTTACACAACAATGACATGTACACTTACATACATACAGCGCTTGGTTCACACGGTGTGAACCTCTGTCGCTCCAGTGAAATCTACTGTATATAATGCTTTGGTCTCGACTCTCAGCAAATTCTTGAAGTTTTGCCTATCAAGTTCTTCCAGTGCCCATTCCAAAACCGAAGAAGTCAGCACCTGGAAAAGAAGGACATGACAAGAAAAAAGGTACCTAGTCTCTTCTATTGTTATGAGTAATCATCACGGCTTTGAATTAAATATCAAATCACTTACGATTCCAGGCAAATAAAGCAGCGTCAAACTCTCAGAATGAAAGAAAAAAGTCATCCACACAAAAATCCTCAAAAAATACGAACGCTTCACGACCTGTGCAACAGGCCACCAAGAAATCTAAATCTGGGACTAAGCCAAGTGTACGTTGTAAGTAGTGGGTTTTTTCCCTCGTGTCTGCATTTTGAAAACTCTTAGCAAAAATCTCAATCTTCCTGAACTATTGTGGTAGCCCAGACATCTTCATCGAATCCCACCCCTAGCGCCAGTGGAAAGGCATCATGTGATTGAAGCTGCCTCTAATATGTCTCGTGATCCATTTCTCCCGTCTATAGGCTGATTGATAATCAATGATCCTTGATTTTGCACTGAACTGATCAGCTGACAAGAAGGGTAGAAGCCAACAGAAATGGCTGCGCTACGTGAAAGGTGAGTACCCTTCCGTCACCTGGCAGCTTTTTTTGAACCGACTTTCGCGCTTCTTATCACTACAATGTTGCTCACTATGTATCTTACTTTTTTGTTTACATCCTGTGTATCCCAGAGATTGGAAACAGTCGTCGGGCCCCCACCCCAAAATATCCTTTCACAATACGACCGATCTCTCACTTGTGGGCCTCTCAATATATGGGATCACTGCGTGCTTGTCGTGAATTGGAACAGTGTCCACGCTGGCATAACATCAGAGTTGTGGGAAAACTAACTCCCAACCCTTTGGAACTAGTGACAGAAGCTCTTCGCGCCGTTCAGGTGGTTGTTGAAGACGTGATAACGTTGGATCTTGGCTGGACTAGCGGCGAATGGATGTTCAATATCCCAGATCCCTCTTCCCGTCATCGACTCGACTCTCTCGGCTCCCATTTTGACCGGGGATATTTTCTGGGTGGCTACCATACACTACCCGATATAGAGTTTATCATCATTCCTCTTCCATGGCCGATGGAGATAGATAGCTCAAAGGACTTCGTACTGGTCCCTATCGTCTTGATGGGAATTCCATTCTATGACTCGGATCTTGATCTTGATCGATATCTTTACGAAGCCATCACTGCTCAAAACAAGAAACTTGGAATTCAGCAAGTGATGGTGAAGGAACGCTATTCAACTCGCGGGGCTAGGTCCAACGACGTAAGATGTCATGTCCTTCTTGACCCAAGTTGTATTCACGAGTGGGATATAGAAAATCCCATGAAAGTGCTCTTGCAGGGTTGGGATAATGAAGGTGTACCTCGGCCGGAAATGTGGCCAGTAACAATACGACTCATTGACGAGTGTTCGTTGTGTGGTAGCTTCCGTCACCTTGCAGAGGATGGTATCACCGAGCTCGAATGCAATATCCGTATCTACCGCAGGATGCTGATGGAAAGCCGACATGTGGATATCGTTAACGACTCGCCAACAAGTGCAAAACAGTTTAACAATCGACCTAATTCTATCGCTCTTGATTCTCCTTCGCCCACGGCTTCTTCTATCAGTGATAAAAGGACACGCATTGGTTTTATTGTTACTACTTGAAAAGAACATCAATCACACTCGGGTCCTCAACTCCTGGCGATTTCAAGCTACTTTCGTGAGCTGCGTGTGTGTTGATCTAGCTCAAAGTAGCATTTATTTATGAAATCTATAACGGTTTGTGAATCATCCAACGATCATTCTGCTTTTTGCTTTCCTGAACATAGTAGCCGCAGAATATCGACCATTGTTAACAGACAACCTGATCCCAAGTCGGTCATATACCTACAAATACATTCGCTAGGTTTGGATGAATCAAGACTGTCTTGACTATGCGATGAAATGAGAACAATGACCCTGACAAGGCGCCTTTGATCGAAGCTTTTGCATCAAGTACAACATGTAGAATCACAGCTCATGTGGCTTGAACTGCGAAGGAATTCAGAGCATTCATAGCGGTCTGTCGATTTGTGCAGGGTCAAAGAACATACACACAACATCCTTTATGATACTCGTTTTGGTTTTTAGATAGTCTGCTAGAAGTGTTGTATGAACGTTGGCATGCTAATGTTGTCATGCATATTGTCCCTCCCCTTTAGCACGCTCTGGAAGTGGGGTTAGACTCTGACTTAACTAAGTTGCTTCTCATTCTAGGTGTCCTTTGGAGTCTGCAGAGTTGAGAAGGAGCGCCTGCATTTGGGGCAGGACTTGATTAAGTTGGATCAAACCGGGCGGGTTTGGGATGCTTCATCTGTAGCAATGCTTCTTGGCAAACAATTGGCCATTTTGAGCAAATAATTTGGCAATGGCTCTTGCCATTTATGAGGAAAGTACAGCTCTTTTTGCACTTGCAGAATAATGAGCCTCACATTGCAGTGATGCCTATGCATAGCCATCACCTCTGAGGATGTGTACATATATATAAAATAAACACCTCCAAAATGTGTGTTGAAAGGTTCCATGGGATATTGTTACTCAAACATGATCTTATATGAGTTGTCCTCTTTCAATTTGATGCTATGATTATTCTGCACATTAAATACCTATAAGTACCTATTATGCACACAGCTATTTATTTAAAAAAATCAAGAATGTATCATTGATGGGTATATGGAAAGAAAATTTTGATTGAGATGTCTTGGCATTCAGAGTTTACTGGCTGTGTTTTGCAATATAACATCCCCCATGTGATATCTGTAGGGCAAAAAAAAGAAAAACTCTCTGCCTCAAGTATATAGAACCCAGTAATTAAGAGGCCAGAATGTGTTGTTTTAGATGCAAATTGAGACAAATCACTGGAAGAATTTTCAGGAACTGCATATTCACAGCCTTTGCTCCAATTATGTGTGATTCATTTATGAAGATAATAGCAAAACTATGTGAGACGTCTGTCCAGAGGATCCAATTTGAGCTATCAGACAAAGATATACTTAATATTGTGTAGAAACATCATGAGATACTCTGGGGTAATTCTTGGACCATTGGTTTGATTTTACCAACCAAGGGACAACTCAAGATATAAGTCCATGGATAAGAATTGAATCAGGGAGGTCAAGAAAAAGTGGCATCCAAACCATACAGACCTTAGATTGTCACCACCGCACCAACCAAATAGCAAAATACAGTGACTTTAGAAATTCCATAGGAAAAAAACTGAGGCACCGGACCTAGTAAACTGCCTGTATGGTTTGCTCACCGAGTAAAAATCTGACAGGACCTCATAGGAATGGTCAGTCAACTATAAAAAAAATAGCGCCCAAAGGAGCACACTGTCCAACATCTCACCTCTCCAATTGGTGCTATCCCATTTTGCCAATCAATATTAACACAAACCTATTCCTTGATTTCACAACTGGGCTATGTATTTGATGACACTTTTGCTGTTATACTCAGTCCTGGTTTTCTTGAAATTTTACAATTTGGTGGGATAATTGCCATACACACCTGTACCTGTCAGCAAGGGCTTGTACAGGCTCTGGATTGGCTCTTTTTCAGTGGGTCCCAGTAGTGATGCTCTTAGATCAAAGAAACTAAGTTTAGAATTTGCTACCTCATGCCTCCCCTTATCAAATTGAGGCCTGCTTCAACAATCCCACAGTCAACCTAAGAACCTGGTTGATGGATAAAATATTTAATACCTATCTCAAATTTATAAAAAATATTTTGCAAATATTTTGAAACCTCCAAGGCACCACCACAAAGCCAATGATGGGTCAGGTTGAGAGGAACAAGCAAAGTTGGTACATATAAACTGGAAGGGGGTGAATAGATGACAGCCACACAATATCTATATGCAAGGTGAGGATGCAGCAAATGTAAATGTTATGAAGTTCACATGCTTGTAATGTAGTTGTGTCTTCATGTTATCTGCTAATACATTTCTGTCTGTCATAATATCTTTATAACCTATTAGCATAAGTTACTTTCCTTATTGTATCCAGATTTGTTAGTAAGATTGGTCTTCTTCACCTTTCTATATTATTCTATCATTTCTATCAAGGGGTGGGATTCCATCTTATCAGTAAAGGTGGCAATCATCAGATTTTGTAAGGTACAGGGGATGAGAAAATAGCAGGGGGAGGAGATACACACAATTTAGGAGAAGAGATGTGGTTGTTTGTATGGATTGTTCAGGTCATTTGTAGATTGCATAGTGTGTGGAGCCAAGTTTTTGTTGTCCATTTGGCCCTGCTGATTAAATTTCAAACCCCTTTGGTCAGAATGAAGTCTGGCTTTCTTGTCATAATCTTTTGCAATTGTTTGCTTCCCTATCAACTCAAGCTGTTTTCACTGTCCCAAATCTAGAAGCTCTTGGTCTTCATGTTGTACAACTACTCAACTTGATTCCATCCCTCATGTACATAGATAGAAGTCATGCTGTAAATGGAATTCACTTCAATTTTAGGATAACATAAAAAAATCATCGTGTTTTCCAAAAAAGATATGCAGGAATTTCTCTTGATGGGAAGATTCCAGAACTTGAAAAAATTAAAAAACTGATGTCTTGGTATGGATTTATTGTTTTGGAAAAAAAGCTCATATGCATGGAAAGCTCTCAATGAGAGCAACGGTGGCATGGCTAAGCTAAGTTAGCGCTTAGCGGTGCATTAGCTTAGTGATTTTTTATTGCTAAGCTATTGCTAAATCCTTAGCGCACTCAAGCTAAGCTAATTGAATTTTGATTTTTCCTTTAGTGGGTTGGCGCTAAGCTAAGCCAGAACTTAGCTATCAAAAAAAACATGTTTTAAGTGCAAAAAAGGGCCGCTAAGCCTCTATTAGTGGTTTACCGGCCAATTAATTGGCTTAGCGGGTGTCATTTTACGCCCGCTAAGCTAATGGCTTAGCGTTAGCGGAAATCCGCTAAGATTAGCGTTAGCGGATTTTTCCTTAGCGGCTTCTAGCTAAGCTAAGCCAAGGTGGCAAAAATCCTTAGCTTAGCTTAGCAAGCCACCATTGAGAGCTTTCCAGAACTTTGGTTGTCTGGTTTAAACAACCAGACTTGAGGTCTTGTTGTTTGGGCCTCGATTTGAATTTGGCAATTATTTGCCTCTAAGCACTATAGCATGAAATGCCAACAAATCAGGCCTGTCAGCCCTTAGCCCTGTGTACAGGACCACGGACTAACAAACACACATGTGAATATATCTAACTTGGTACAAAACCATAATGATTACATGTCATGGTTCAGTATCAAGAGTCACTGAAAAAATAAGGTTTAACTATAATATGGATAAGTTGAAACCTAACCCAAGGAAAATCAAACTTGAGGGTCAACCACAAGTTGGCACCTAGGTCTTGGAACATATAAATCCTTCTTGTTCCCACTTTGGCAGAGGAACCAAATCCATATCATTCCACAACTCCTCGTGATCACATCTTACTTGATTCTTCACCAAGAATATTGAGTATAGTGATATCAATGTGGTAACAGATACCCTACTGTACTCATACTGTGCCATACCGTAACTGAGCTGCACAGTACAGTTGTTCCAGTCTAGTCTCAACCACAGCTGCTCTGCAAGAACAATATCTTGTTACAGAAATCTATACACAAAAATTGTACCAATAGACATCATGTAATAAGTCATTTTTGAGCTTATTACATGGGGTTTGTGTTACAAATGAACTGGAAAGTCAATCCAACTGACCAATTTTTTTCAAATTTTTTTTGAAACTTCAATATTTGAGTCTGGGTATATAGGAGGCTCAGCTTAAGTACTTAAGTACCTAGCTTAGGTCCTTAAGTGATAAACTCAAGTATTCAAGTGCCCACATAGTCACTTAAGTATATACTTATGTACTTTGAGGACACACATATGTTTCAAAGCTCCACATTTCATGAAATGTGGAGCTTGAATGTGGAGCTTCAACAGCTCTCTCAAATTGTCACAAAATTGATTTTTCCTTCATAGAGAACATGAAAATAGAAAGATAAAGACAAGGAGTCAAATCCTCAAGGTTTACCCACCATGTCATCCTTCAATGCAGTGTTATGGGGTATGCATTGATGTGAACAATACTTCTTGATGAGTTTTTCTGCTTGTGACCTAGTGTGAGGAGTATGCGTCTGTTAGGCATACTCTTCACAGAAAATAGAGTAGGAAAAGGAAGGTGCAGTATTCACGTGGTACACCCAAGTGAAGACTACAGCTAGTTGACCTCTAAGAAAAGGATTTGAGAAAGGGAAAGGAAATATAAGGGCAATAAAGAGCTAATGTGCTCTAACCTTGTGAGACTGCGAGGGGCAGGCTTTACACTTTGGTAAACCAGAGATCCTGAAGGCTACTTTAGACTCCTTAAAAAGGAGGAAGCTTTGCTACTTTAAGGTTTATTTCTAGAGACAATGAATGCCCTGGGCTCGTAGAAATCAGTACCTTGGGTGTTCAGCAATGGAACCCATAATGCTCAAGAATGGTCTTTAACAAGCTACACAACTAACCACGTACTTGAAGATCCTCTCAGTAGGAGTCAAGTAAAATGTGGTTCTGTGTTGTGATTGTAGTAAAAGATGGGGGGTGATTCTAGGGAAGAAGGGGGGGTTTATATAGTCTCAGCTCCAGCGTCAACTTGTGGTTGGTGTGTGAGTCTTGTCTATTCACGTGTCAACTTGTGGTTGACACTTGGGTTAGGTTTACTATGTATTTAATACATTACATACATGTGTTTAAGTGGCTCTTGACACTGAGCCTTGAGATGTAGCTTATGGCTTTATACAATATTTTGATATTACATATGGTACTGTTAGCCCATGGTCCTGTAATTAGGGCTCAGGGCTGACACCTAGTGTATCCTTGTCTTGATTGTTAAACATAAATAAATGTCAAAGAATGAAAGGATCAAATGAGAAAAACACTGAAACTCACTGATATGCATTTCTCTGGCAATCAATCTTTCTGAAATCCTTTTGGATAATTGATACTGGACAACATTTGTGTATAGAGCTCTATTGGGTTGAGTTCACAATGTAACTTTGGGAGAAAGACACATACAGTCAAACCCGTGCAATTGCATACCCGCACAGATGCATAACCTGTGATAATGCATAGAAAAAATTCTTAATCTTGATGCTTTCTACTGCCAAATTTGACAATGGAATTGCATAACCCATGAAAATGCATAGAAAAAGTCTTCCACCCAAATTATGTGATTGCACGGGTTTGACTGTATATGACCAGCTTCCTCAATCATCATTTGAAGCAACAGCTTCTCGTTTGCGAAGTCTGACTGCAGGCTCCATATTTTTAAAGCACAGCAGGTTGGATCATCAACCTCCTCATTTTTGGGTACAGCTGGATCTTCACCTTTTTCATACACTCCTTGTGGTTCTTTCTTGCATTGCGACCTAACTTCTTGAGCAGCCAAGTTACACTGAATGCCGGATAATTTATAATACATGTTTCAAATTGGAAAACTGGTCTTTTTCCTTCTTCTTTGGCTTTGGCTTCATAAAACTCCCACAATCCGCGCTCATGAAGGACACAACAAACACCCTTTGATAATCCAGCCAGTTTGGGATCTGGATGGTCAGCTGGGTATACCATTTACTGTAGCAGGCCTCAAAGTTTGATAGGTATTTGAGGATTGTCAGTTGGGATGGTGGTATCTTGTACTTTCTTTGGGTTTTTGTTAAGGACAGTGGTTGGGGGGGAGCTCTCGACAAGGATTGAGTCTCAGGGGTTCAGGTCTGTCTATATGATAGATTGTCAGATGAGGAAGGGGTCTACAAGTGACGTAATCTACAAACTGAAGTACTCTGCTGTTATGTGACATGTGGTGATGATAGCTGTCACAGATAGTCCTTGTTACATTGGCATTGTAACAGTTTTTTCCTCCAGGCCCGAGGTTCATGTTTGAAACCCATAGAGCACAGGTTCCATGGGATTTGTGTGCAGAGGAGCAGTCAAAGACAAAAACTCCCTGTGTGTCAGGAAATAAATACTCAAAATTTCTCATGTCCAAACTTGATCAATAAGCTGCATGCAATCCCACCAAGGATTGCCCATGGTCCTGGGGTAAGATTCATTGATCCATGAATTTGATACAGTAGTGTTGTTCTCTTCATTTTTGTTATTGCTATTGTGATTGGAGAATTCAAACATTTCAAAGTCTTCAGATTCTTCAAATGGTTCATAAAGTATGATTTCAGGCAAAGAAGGGGAAGCTGGAGCTGGAGCTGGATTTTTGACAACCCAGTTATCAAACGTGAAGTTGGGCTTGCCAAGAGCCTTTTGGTGATTCTTTTGGTATCACTTCTTAGTTTCTTTTGGTATTATGTGTGGTGCAAGCTTCTGTGAATTAATTCAAAGACAAGGCTGTTTATAGCCTTTGAGGATACGGCTGTACTTAGTTTTTTGTTTACCAAGAGCTGGTTGGTGAAAAGCAGGACAAGTGAAAACAGGGAATAATGTATTATTGACAAGTTCCATATTGCAAGATTTGTCATCTGAAGAGTCCGCAATGTTTGCTTGTGCATATAGTTGTATGTCCAAGGGATCCATATTGTCTTCCTCTGATTGATAATCTGGATCAATAGGCATCCAGTAAAGCTCAGATGGTTGAAGGAGAATGGATTGAAGAGGCTGGAGGGTTTGTAACTCCTCAATATCAGAGTTGCAATCTGATGGAATTGTAATTACAGGAGGGGAGGGTGTGATCATCCCCAAATCAGCATCAAGTGGGGTTTGAATGGGTTCATCCAGAGGTATATCAGACTTTGAGTTTGTTACAGAGGGGGATTGATCTTCTGATTTGTAATTAACCAAAGCTTCTTCTAAATTTTTGGCCTTGTGAAAGGTCTTCCATTGTTTCTTTTGAGCTCTGGATGCTTTGCTGCACTTTGCCATGGTCTGTATAATATAGATGAATGGAAAGTGGCAATAAGCTGGAGAAACCAAAAAAAACCTTTGCAAAAAAACACCCCAGGTATTACTGGAGGGTCCAAAATTTGGGGACCAGGGCCGGAGTCGTGGCTGAGACTAGACTGGATCAACTGTAGGTGCCTGGCTGATTGTCAAGTTGGGGGTGAGTAGCCCAATCAAGCAGTCTAAAGATGCTTGATTTTTGGGAAGCCCTTATGGTCAGAGAGGTTTCCATCTTATCAAGGTGCAAGGCAAGGCTGATGGCACTTCAAACAATTACCATAGCTACCATACTGACAGCTTCATCTTCAGCAGCCATTTGTTTTGATTTTTTTTCATAATCAGTCTCATCTTATCCCTTGGTCTGCATGACAATGTCACCTGAATTGTCTACCACAGAATCCAAGGTGGATTGAGACTCTGTCTCCAAAAATTGATTTGGGCTTTGCCTTTGTCATTACATTGTTCAAGTGCTTTTTCATCCTCACTTCTTCATTTGTTTCCTCCGTTTCTTTTTCTTTGTCTTCTTATATGTGATCCTCTTCTTCATTGTCTTTGTCTTTGTCACTGTCTTCTTTTTCTTTGTCTTTGTCTTTGCCATTGCATTCTTTGTCCTGTACATTGTCCTTGTTGGCGTGAGCTCCTTTTTCATCCTTATTCCTGTCATGTTCTTTGCCTTGGTATTTTCCATATCTCTTGTCCTTCCTGGAATTGGCCCTGCTTCCCTAAGGGATATATGTGGGGCGGTGGGTAGGTCTAAGGCAATGGGTTATTGCAAATATGGCAAAAAGGACCAAAAATGAGCAGTTGCCCCCACAAAAACTGTACATAGATTACTAGTGAGGAAGTTTGTTGGTACAGATGAGTCCATTTTCCGAAAATATTTGAGGCACTGGTGGGCCGCAATGGGTGATCCTCCAGGGTAACATTCTGAACAAGGTGATTTCAGCTTTCCAAAGCTCGACTGAGTGCTGCCGGGGTAATCAAGTTGAACTCCGATATAAAACGGGTATTTTCCTTTGGAAAAGGGAAGCTTTATATATTAAGAATTAAAACGTAGAGCTCAGCTTGGGCACGACTTCAAACAGTTGATGATGGGGTATAATCAAAGCTAACTTCCAGCTTGAGGCTGAATCATAGTAGGGGTTGGGCAAAAAACCAACCAACCAGTTTCTGAAGTCCATTCAGTTAATTGTAATTCAGTTTTTTACAAATGCTCAGGAACAATCACTAGAACAATATCAAAGCCAACAAAAAAACTTGTTGTTTGCTTTGCTTTGCAAAAGAATCACCAAAAGTCAACTGGTGGACGGTGTTCTTGATCATTCCAAAGCCTGAACAATTCAAAAAACCAAAGCAATTTGCGCCACCCAAGCCACGTAGACAACATCTTTCCACCTTTCACAAAGGAGAGCCAGGTACCACCTAGGCTCTTTTGGAGCTCAGCTCAGTTGAAAAGGCCTGTCTTCAGACCCAAACACCGACTTTGAGTGACCTAGCAGAACGACAGGTCTGTGAAACCTGCACACAGTCGTTTCCGGCCATCTTTGACTTGCTTCGCCTCGCTTCTCAAAGGCGCAAAACTGGTTGGTCAGTTTTTCGCCCAACCCCTAATGTGAGCTACTCCGGCTAAGTAGCATGTCGTGTAAATAAATACGCCGCACTCTTGGTGGCTGGCGCGGCCCGCAGCTTCCAACCAGATCCGACAGCTGGCAGCCCCGATGTCCCAGAGTGGACCCACGTGTGGGTCAATCTCGGGACTCGGTCCACTATTTAGAGCAAGTAACGATAGCTCTGTCTCGACTTTGAGCCCACCACCACCACCGAAAATAATACTCTGTCACCAACTCAAAGATGTCCGGGCAAAGCTTAGAATGGCTCACAAAAGAATGGTTGCGCCTTGAGTGAGCTTCATTCACATTTGATATCCATGAAGGTTTCGCCCTAGATGTCGGGAAACTGACTTATGTAGTTTCACTTGTTGTGGTGCAACAGCCGGGTGCGTCCACTTGCTCGACTTGAAAATAGATGATGTTCCGCAAGCTTGCTCAAATGCGCTCGAACCTCTATCGATGGCTCTCATAAACCCTCGCTTCTGTGGTATTTCCAAAAGAACCCCACGACTCGAGCTCAAATTGAGGACCTATGTGCCAAAGGGAACAACGAAGAGCTGGCTGATCGGCTCTTGAAGCGTATCAGTTTTGGTACGGCTGGTAAGTTGATACTGCTTCCCTAACTCGATCATTGCTCCTAATAACTCACGGTGCCTACTAGGTCTTCGAGCGGAGATGTCCGCTGGATTTTCACGTATGAATGATCTTACCGTCATCCAAGCATCTCAAGGCAAGTGGCTGTCCTAGCTATCCCAGTATCACTCGGTTTAAACCTCCGTTCGGCGCCCTAAGAAACTTTCATCTCGTAGGCCTTGCGGCATACTTGATTGAGAACATCCCCAACGTCGAGTCAAGGGGCGTGGTAGTAGGACACGACCACCGTCACAATTCTCGGCGCTTCGCTCACCTGGCATCATTGGCTTTCATCCGACGCGGAATAAAATGTTATTTGCTGAAGGGCATCGTTGCAACTCCTATTGTGGTAAGTGGGAATCCACGCAGAGTCAGCTATTGAATCAGTTATACGGCAGGTTTCTGAGTTGCTTTTGTTGTGCGATGGACTTCATATGTCATATAGCCATTTGGGACTAAGTTTCTTGGCGCAGCAGCTGGGGTGATGATCACAGCGTCCCACAATCCGGCTGCTGATAATGGCTACAAACTGTAGGCAGACATGTGACCCATCAGGACTTTTTTCCCTTCACTCATGACGTCGATTTTGACATGTATGCAGCTACTATTCGAATGCGGTCCAGATCATTCCACCTCACGATGCAGGAATTGCTGCTGCAATCGAAGGTAACCTTGAGGTAGTCGAGGAAGCATGGGATCTTGATCTGGTCGACCGTTCAAAAGACAAACTGTGCTTTGATCGTACCGACACAATCAAGGAACAGTATTTTCAAATGGCTGCTAGTCTATCTACGCGCGAAAGGTATACATCCCCTCTTAATCGACGTATGCTCACGTGTGTATTGATGATATCTTTTTCATGGATTTCTGCAGAAATTTAAATTCGGCCACTCCCATCACATTCATTTACACTCCGATGCATGGAGTTGGGTTACCATTCGTGACACATGTACTGACCGAAGGTTTCGGGTTTCCTCGCCAGTCATTGATCACTGTACCTCAACAATCCGAACCTGATCCTAGTTTTCCAAGCGTGAAGTTCCCCAATCCAGAGGAAAAAGGTGCATTAGATTTGGCGATGCGACTAGGCGAGGAAATTTACTCGAAGGATTCCAAGAAAAACATTATCCTACTTGCAAACGACCCGGATGCTGACCGTTTTTGCGCAGCGGAATGGCTGGGGTACGTATTTTAGAGATAGCTTTCGCCAATAATCATGACGACCATTGATATCAAGTGGCTCGAATTTAGCTCCCAGTGGCACGTGTTTTCTGGTGATGAGATCGGGAGTATCTTGGGAGTTTGGACTCTAGAACAGTATAAGAGATCTGGTCAACCACTTGGTGAGTACTAAACACAAGAAAAGGATCGCGTAGGGTAATGATAATTTTCACAAAACTCATAATCCACATGTGCATGTTTCAGATAAACTAGCTATGCTTGCTTCCACCCCGTCATCCAAACTCTTAGCGACCGTGGCAATCCAAGAGGGATTCAAGTTCAAAGAGACATTGACTGGCTTCAAGTACCTTGGGAACGCTACACTCGAGCTGGAATTGGAGGGATTTAAGGTGCCATTTGCGTATGAAGAGGCGTTGGGATATATGTGTGGGAACTCACTACGTGACAAAGACGGAATCACTGCGTTGGCAATATGGGCTGAACTGGCCACAGAGCTGGCAGAAAGAGGCGTATCACTGACTCAATACTTGGACAGCATTTACCAGCGGTAAGTCGTTTAGGGCATCAATATATTGTCGAGCTAAATTGATCCAGTTACTTGTCCCATTTCAGCTATGGGTACTTTGCAACCAATAACGGCTACTTCACCTGCAAAGATCCTTCAAAGGTTGATCAAGCTTTCCACAAATTACGTTTCGGTGCAGCAAACGTAAGTGATGCAACGTTCTTCAAAAAGCAATTAAACTGCTGTGACTGACAGATGTGTTGCGTTTTTGAAGGATACGAAATTGGATCAGAGGGAAGCTGTTGTCCAAGCTTTACAGTTCCCTCAGACTCTCGCCTCCTTTCCAATCGAATGCATCAGAGATTTGACGATTGGTTATGATAATTCTCGTCCGCCTGATTTCTTACCTGATTTACCAACATCTCGCAGTTCACAGATGATTACCTTCACGATTGGAGGTGAAGGTGGGAAAGTGATTGCTACCCTCAGAACTAGTGGTACAGAGTTATGGAAGCTCAAGTATTATGTCGAAGGTTCGGCTCCGCTTCGTGAAACTGCCGTGCAAAAGGTGAACCGAATCGTGGAAGCGCTTAGAGATGAATGGATGCTAGGACAGTTGTAAAGTTCCTTGGGATCTTCAGCTTGGAGGTAGATGTGTTAGTTTTGTACATTTCCCTGGAAACTATTTCTTAATTCATAACATGTATTGTAGTAGCAATGTTGTTGTTTGCTTCGGAAATTGAACCTCCATCAAGTTTGACGAACAAGCTGGAATCTGAGAAGATCAGATCTTCAACTGAATTACTTCAAACCGTTTTCCATGTTGGTTTGATTGGGTAGGCATCGGGCAAATGGCAAATGGCATCGTACTTTGGCAGGTTCAGAGTTGACATTTTTATTGAGAAGACTTTTTCCAAGGCACTAAAGCAGTGATAAGTTTCATTGGGAGGACGTAAGAAATATGTACTCCGCTTACACCAGGCTATGGCTATTTTGGTGCGGATCTGCAGAACATGCCTTGAAAGAGCCCCGACTCTGCCCGATTCCGGGAACCACCCGCCACACCCCGATCACTGGTGACGTCACTCCCTGTCCTCACCCCACAACACCGCCGCGGTGAAGGAGTTGTTTGTACATCGACGTTCATGAGCTGTGTTTGGATGAACCAACTTTTCGGCTCATCTTTTCTGATGTGACTTCATACTCCATTTGATACAAAAGACCATATCTGACCCCCTTTTCCGATCGAGCTATCTACTCCAACTTCAACGTAGATATCCACACAATACTTCCTTACATGATGACTGTCACTAAAACTTCAGTTCCTCAGACCCAATCAGCTATTCAGATCTGCCAAACTGGTGGAGTTGAGGTGATACAACTTAAAGAGATACCTATACCTGAACTTGGGGAAGATGAAATATTGATAAAGGTCGAATGGTGCGGGGTGGGTACATTTCTTATCTTGAGTGCAAAGAGTTTCGTAAATTTAGACTGATTATTTGCATAACAATGACGGTGGTAACATTGTGATCATTTATATATCACTTTTGATTATTCTCAGGTCAACTTCATCGACGTAAGCCTAAATATCTCACTCGAACTCTACCCATGTCATGTTTGCTCAATTGTTTCTCAAATTGATGGATATTTGGGTGCATAGACATATTTTCGTTCCGGTCTTTACAGCGTCTCATTGCCTTTCACCCTTGGCAATGAAGCGGCCGGAACGATAGTCCGTCTCGGTTCCCGAGTCACTAGCTTTTCTCTTGGTGAACGTGTTGTGGGATACATGGGCGGAGGTGGGCTGCAACAATATACTCGATGTCGTACACACAGAGCTTGCAAAATTCCAGATGCAGTTTCCACCAAGGATGCTGCTGGGCTCTTTGTGCAAGGCTTAACCGGTATGCACGTATCGCTTTCTGAACTTTTCACTCATCATCTGAGCTGATCTTGCTACCTTAGCACTCACCTTTATGCGCGAGGCTCACAGGGTCGAGAAGGGAGAATACATATTGGTGCATGCTGCGGCTGGCGGTGTGGGGAGTCTATTGTGTCAAATGTTTGTCACTCATATATTTGATTCATGTATGAAATCGAATTAACTGAACCGACATGTGCGTGCGTTCAACAGTCTCTCAAACGCCGGTGCACACGTCATAGGTACCACATCCACTGCCGAAAAGGCACGCGAAGCTATGGCAAATGGCGCTGAACACATAGTCACCTATGGCGACAAAGATATGCAAGAGGTGACATCCAAGATCAAAAGTCTTACCCCCGGGGGTGAGGGTGTTGCGGCTGTGTTTGATGGTGTTGGTCACGTAAGCAGTGCTAGATGGCTTGGGCATCATATGGCCAAGGGAGATCTGATGTGCTTATGATACTTCTCATAGAATACTTGGGAAAGCGATTTCGATGTTGTGAAACGGTAAAGAGGCTCTCTAACTGAACCTGTATCTTTGCTGATCTTTGACTATTAGCTAATTTTTTGACATTCAATTTTCTGATTGATATAGAAAAGGAACCATTGTGGTTTTCGGAAATGCGAGTGGTCCACCACCAGCATTCTCCGCCTTGAAACTGATGGCCAAGAATTTAAAATGTACGTTTCTTCTTCGCATCATGCCTTTGAGATATTGATATTCTACGCCTGCGATTCTATTTAGTATGTCGACCAATGTTAGATCAGTAAGCAGATCTACCTTTTTATGGGAGATCCACGGACTTATTTAGATTATTTTTTTCTTTCCTTAGATATGTTCATACGCCTGAAGAATGGTCACATTACACTGGTGAACTATTCAATTTGATTGCCAAGGGTGTAGTACGTCCAAAATACCACAAGAAAGAAGGTTATTCATTTGACGAAGCTGGAGTACGCGCTGCGCATACTGACATCGGTAGGTCCCAACATAAGACAAAGATTGCGGGATATTTGTGTTGATGTCTTTTTGTATTACATTCTTTATAGTGTCCCGTAAGACATCGGGAAAGCTGATTGTTAAGGTTTCAGATGCTTAAATGCTCATTTGAGTTATTGATGTGCATACGAGTCTTGGTATTCTAAACTTAAACAAAATATACCACTCAGTCTGAAACTTCTTGATTACTCCTGAGCTGCTCTTGCTAAAATTGTTTTCCCAAGAAGCCCTCTTACCAATGTTTCAGTCTTGATGTGTGTGTTTTGTATAATTACCATGAAGCCATCTTGTTCAATCAGTCAAATAGCCTGTTCATCGCACTGTGCACATAGAGTCACTGTCCTCCTACACCGTGCTTTTGTTCGAACAATTGACTGTCTTCGACGGTGTAATCTCTCCAACGGCGAGGTTTCGGTAGCTCGGAGATGTTGCCAAGACTGACCCTTTCGATAGACGTGAGGACCAGTTGATTGAGAGTGAGTGGACGTGCTAAGAATTGATGATATGCTATCTCATTCCCAGAAGATTCCTACACTTTAATGTCGTTTGACGGTTTCGATGTGCGTGGTCATTGAAACCTGAAACCTCGAATCGGAAGATCGCATGCATAATTTAGCTGCCTTCTCTATCTAGAGAAAGGTTATCAAGTTGTTGATAGATAGTTTATACCGAGAGACGATGGCTGTAATGTATATCAATCCATAAAAACCTGTAAATTGGTGAAACTTTCTAGGTCCTTGTTTATCTTCAAGTTTGAGTTCCAATGTGACGGACCAGGGTTCTCGTAGCTGAACGTCAATGGCTCTGGGACGGCGAAAGCTTTGAACCTCTGACCATAGAGTGAAGAGATAGTGTCACGAATGATATGGTAGAAAAAGACGGGAGTAAATATCTTTGAAGAGATTGATGACGGGCTTTCAAATCTCAGAAATCGCCAGAATCAAGGAATAGATGATGGTATTCCCAGCTCTGGGACTCGAGGAGATAGACAGGTTTACATATCTTGATAATGAAACATACGAGATGGCTGGGAGGCTGCGTACTTCAAGTGGTTCCTTCGAGGATTGGGCTTGTCTCACTGTTCCTGGAAACAAATTTGGAAAACATTCACTCTACTTATGGCAGTCAAAGATATTTCAATTTCAAGTATACAAACAGAACTATATCCATCTAAAGCCTCTTCACGTTCTTTACAGCTTGAGTTCCTCGCCAGCAAATGTTATTTCGAGACTTCTAAAGCTCTAACTAATAGAGATTGTGGAGCATGTTCACGTAAGACATTCAAAGAGATTGAAGCAAGTTCATTATTAAGAACTGAAGAAGTATGACAAAGATCTTGAAGTTCTCCTGTTATCAGCAATAAGAAACGAGAATTCGAATCTGTAGAAGATTGCAATGCTTTCGTGGCACTTAAACTCAAAAGCAAAAAGG